TTCTCCCCGGAACGGCCATTCCGGCGCAGGTTCCCGTAGGGCCTCTAGTGGCCATGGAAGAGTTTTGGAAGAAACCCCTACAATATGGGTATCAAAATTCATGAATTTACAGCAGGAGACTGTTTATCATAATTTTGTGATCATCCGATGGATTGTCCCGGAGTTGGTTCCCGTAGCGCCTCTAGTGGCCATAGAAGTGTTTGGAAAGAAACCCCTGCAATGATTTTTCAGATTTTGCTCCAGCTCCGCCAAAGTAGGTCCGTCCAGATTATTCTTTTGCGTTTGAGTTGTAATTTGCTTGTTATTTCATACCACAATAGCCTTTCGAGGTTTAAATGGCAATTACAAGGGAAAAAAAATATTTTGTTTTATTTTCTTCGTTTTAGCCTTTTTCCAAAATGATATACGGGTATGCCTACTATCTTTTCTTATGTAAAATTTAGAGACCACTTTTTGAAAGAACTTTCTCAAATTTTCTCGTAATAATTTCCTTATAAAAATCAAAGAGCAGTATAAGATCGCAACCAAATGGGTTCAAATTTCTGGAGAATAGTCAGAAATTATAATCGATTGAGCAGGGTAGAGCAAAATCTATATTTTTAAACACCCTTGTATAGAGGTTAGTCATGGATATGCTAAAGATAATTTATGAACATTTTCAGCCTGTTGTTTTAGCAACCTAGCAATCTCTAGCGTAAAAAATGTATCGAATTTGAGGGAAAAAACGGTAAAGCATTCGAACTGGGGTCATTTCTTTATTATCTTACAGGTTTGTCCTAATAACGGGTGGTTAGGGAAATGTTACGTTTATTTTATTTGCGAGTGGGCTAAAGGGTATCAGAGTATCAAAATTTAATAAAATGTTGCCCTTGGGTAGAGTTTATATTAGATGGAAGGAAAAAATAGAGTTTATCTCAGCGAATTACAGTTCAACTTTTCGAGGTTTTCAGAACATCACTTGCTATAAGAGTACATAGCTTAAGAACGAATGCTCTTAGAAACAAGGTTGTAGAGTGAAGCACTACTTCGGAATATTGTAAAAGTTTCCGTTATACTCGTCAAAAATAATGAAGACAAACAGCGATATCCAAAATATATAAATGTAAGAAATGATTTGCTCAGAAGTTTAATTAAAAAAGCTGTGTGTATGGCGCTGTCGGAAGACTGATTTTTGGGGGTTTGCCGAAGTGAAGTGAGGTATGCTGCAATGGAACCGCACCTTAGATTTAAATGATGAATAAATTAAGAGTGATACTATCTGCTCACCGCTTTTTCTGCGCTTTCCTTCAATCAATTGAAAAACAGCGATGAAATAGTGGTGACCACTAGCACAACACCATCCAATTTGTTGAGGCACTACGGTTGAACAAAAATATATATCTTACCAAGGGTTCTTATGACGATTTGGTCTTCATTCTCAAATTGCACGTTAATCCCCAAAATATGACGACCATGTCGCGATGCAGAGTCGATCTTCAGTGAAATTAATTGTCCTCTCATCTCATGTGGAATGTTTTTCTGAATTTTCTCAGCATCGATGTTAATGCATTTCTTGGTTTTCCCCGATGAAAAACTGGTACCTAACGCACTAGCTAGCGTGTCAAGAATCGCACGCATTTCGGGCCAGTCAATCGAAGACAAAGGCATATTCCTCAATGAATCGACAATAGCCACAGGACGTTATTTCATTTTCTTCGATTTTGCTTCCACTTCCTCACCTTCCTTAAAAAAACCCTTTCCTTGGCCAACGCAAAATGTGTACTGCGAAAATTACGCACAAAATTTCCCGCATCAAAATTCTTCTGGAAATATTTACAACTTTCATCACCACTCAACCTACACCACACACCCACGTAATTTTGCACAACGAAATCCTTCGCCTAATCACGAAACTTCCTCTTGCCTGCGATTTTTCTTTCCAATTTCAACCAGTTTCTTATTAAAAACAACACTGCTAAGTTTGCAAATATAACATATAACACTATCTGCGCTAGAGGTGACTGCCGTAGAACTGATTTTTTTTGCAGTCATTCACTACAGCAAACGACAAAGGGAACTTGACCGAAATGAAAATGTGAAAAAAAATCAAAACGAAGCAGAGTGACTAAACGAGAGAGGATTTTTTACGAGAGGGAGCAAGAACTGATTTTTCTACCTATTCGTAAAGCTGTGCATTTGGAAGAATGAATGCGGAAAGTAGCGTGGAGCAACGGATGGTATACGAAGTACCGCACACAAAAGACTACATGAAATTGAATGAATGGTTATGTTGACTGCGCATGAAAAAAAGGACAGACAGAAGCCCTGCCTACATCACGATCCAACGGAAGGCGTAGCAGGATCTAATGTTGGAGAAAATGAAAATGAAATGTTGAAGGACTACAATCCCAAACTGTGTATATTTCCATTTTAGATGTTGTCAGAACCAGGGAATCAAGGAAATGCTATCTTCCGATGCTTACCGACTACGAAAATACTAGAATCATGATCAGTGTACAGTAAGATCATGGATTATAATTTGTGTTACACATCATGATGAGCAACAAAAACGATAATCTACTGATATGATAACAATCACTTTGTAATGTATATCAAAATCTAGGAACTTGCTGTCTTCGGAAAAGTTGTTCTAGAGGTCAAATACCCTACAATACGGATATTTTTGGAATCGGGATGACACATATATTTTGAAAATCAATGTAGGTCGCCATTTTGAAATTCGTCATCTCGGCCGTTGGTTTCGGAAAAAAAAACTGTCAAATACCCTGCAATATGGGTATTTCTGAACTGGAATAATGTATAGATGTCGAAAATCGATGTCAACCGCCATTTTGGAATCTAATTTGGCGGCCTTAGGATTTAGATAGAACTGACAAATAAACTATTCAACATGGCGGCCGACATCAATTTTTGACATCTACACGTCATCCCGTTTTCTAAAATGCCCACATTGTAGCGAAAAGTTGTTTCTAAAATCAATAGCCGCCATCAATTTTGGACAATTTTTCTTAAATCGATGGCCACCATCTTGGATTTCATAATGGCGGCAAACATCGATTTTCGATCTCTATACGTCATCCTCATTCCGAAAATTCACATATTATAGGGTATTTGATTAGCCTTGTCTGAAATGGGGAATTTTCAGTGACGACAGCTGATGATGATGATCATGATCTGTTACGCAAATGATAATCGCATTATCGTTTCCAGAACCGTCCATTGTGATTTATGGATTTGTACTAATCATGAGTGTAACCAAAATGAGAATGTCTGAATCGTTCATTTTGATTCCCTGGTCAGAACATGAATCCACCGGATAGTGATCCTCTGTATGCTTTAACAATTCTTGGAATCGACCAACCCGTTCCAGAGAATGATAACAACAGTGTCGGATTGGCCAGTGACATTCAAATGGTCAGCGAGTACTGTGCCAAGTTGCCGAACGTCGCAACTTAAAGCCCCCCGTTGTAGCGAGGAGCCAAAGTCATGTGGAACGGGCATGCATTTTACTAATGCACCATATGAATGCCCATAAATGCATCACTAAAGAGCTTAGAAAAAGAAGAGGATAGTTCTGAGATAGCAAATTACTGATCGAGGAAGGTCCCATTGTAAATGGTATCATTGCCATAGTTTTAATTTTCACAACAAATTTACTTACGTTCAATTTCAGCTGGATTTCTAACTCGTTGCCAGCATAAAGCAAAGAAAGACACGTTTCACTTTTTACGACAATCATAACCAAACCAATAATTGACATCTAATTATTTCTACCTATGTGTGTGAATGCACTCTTGAATTAACACACACCATCATACACAGATTCCACTGCTGCTCAGAGTGGCGTTGCCGTTACTGTCTCCTGATTTTTGGCAGAGTTGCCAGTCTTCTTGATTTGTAGTCTTCGATATTTTGTAGCAAATTTGTTAAAAATACGCCTAAATGTAGGCAATTTTCAACAGTTTTTCACATACAATCATTTCTATGCTATGAAATCATTCATTGCAAATATGATTTCAGATTCGGACTCAACGGCCCAAAATTAAGTAAAATAAGTCATTTCACCCAACACAGCACAAGAATGCATGCTGATTCTGATATGATGTTTAGGAACAATTAAAATTTGCATATACGCATAAACATAACATATATTTTAACTCTTCCACAAAATTGAAAATTTAGAATTGTAGAATGCATCGTTTGTAAAGGGAAACGTTTTAAAAGCTTTTGAAAAAAAAAGTATTGAAAAATTGAACGAGTGATCAACTTCACCCCGTTTTACGGTACATAAAATGTCGCTCAAAGTATCGATACCTGCCATTTTCTCATGTTTTTTCAAGATTTACATACACCCCTTTCCTTCGAATTCCCTCAATTCCAATTCGGCAACAGAATAAGTAGCAATAGATGCTTCATACGTTCGTTGGCTTATTACGTTGCTGACCTTTAGCTTAGTGTTCTTTGATTGCTTCAATAGAGGTTAATCGAGAGCTTTCCATGCCTAACATCAAAGCCTGGTTGCCTCAAACGACACGTAACAGTGAGTGGGAAGATTTGGAAGAAGTAATGGATGACAAAACCTTATATTTGCTTCAGAGATAAACTTTTGATCCTGAAGAAAATTTCAAACGGAGTTTAATCAAACATACAGCTAAACGAAGGTGCCGTATGAGTCAAAATAATCAACGGTCATTGGAAAAGCTTGGGGAGTTCCCATTCCTATTATTCTGCTATATCCTATGAAATTCCTATTTATTTATATAGAACTGCTATGCAAATAGCGAAAGAATAATCATTGGTATGCATAGATTTAGTAACTTGTTTAAAAATGACCAGCTGAAACAATTCAATTCAAATATAGAACTCATAATTCCAATTGGCCTCCGCTCTTCAAATTACATACTTATTTATTTAAACAGTAGTGCTAATCCTAAATAGCATCTTCTAAAATTTCTATTATCTCGATAAAAAAAAAACTCAGAGAAGGAGTTACCACCTACCTGTCGGTTCCGTTCGTCCGTTATCCGTGAGATCTGTATCTTTTTCCGACCCATCCTGTCCTCCTGCTTTGCGGTGAACCTGCTCCGCCGTCAGCCGTTGAAACAAACTCTTAATTTACGTCCTCCAGCTTTACCAGGATTGATTGCCCAACTGAGGCCGGCGATGGCAGCGGTGGTGACAGTGGCAGCACCACTCCCAACAATCCCACTAGATCAACAACGGCAAAGCTCCAGCACAAAACACGTAACCGCCGACACTAGCATTCACGGAATCCCCGAGAAAAAAACAATACCAGAATCGTAATAAAAATATGTCGCACTGCCTGCCAGTAGAAAATAGCACTCCGTTGCTTTCCTCACAGCACACACAAACACACAACCACAAACACACTCACACGCTTGGACTACTGCCGGTACTAGCCGGAGCACTCTTTTGCCCGTGATTTCTTGCTTCCTTCTTCCTGACTTCCAGGTGCGCGCACTCTCCTCTTCTTCCGCTTTTTCTTCCTCTTCTTCTTCTTCTACACTCCAGCAGCAGGAAGTGTTTCCACCTTAAACACAAGTTTCATAACACAGTTGCTTTTTCCGGTGGCTGAAAATAACGAAACGACTGCCGGTGTCCTTTTTTTTTGTCGTAGGTTGTTCCGCCGATCCTGCACCTCAGCAAAGGGGGACACGACCCACGATCTGCAACGAGACAAAGAGAGAGAAATAGAAAAGTCAGAGTGCGACTAGAATAAATGCGGAATGAATATTCATGGTTTTTATTTTTTACTTTCTACATTCCCAGCAGTCCCCGAGTGACCACCGAGGCGGCAGCAGCAAGCACGCTAATCCCATAACTAAGGTTTAAAATGCGTGCAGGAAAAATGGCATGGTCGTAAAGTCTCTCTCTCGCGGCTTTCCACCTTTCTTTTCGTGTCAACTGGTGTGCCTCGGAGGAGTTGACCGAGTGCAATCATGGCTTGCATTGTGCAGCACATGTAACCCATCGTGTCGGATGGTGGGTGCAAATGGATGGGACAATAATGAACATTTCAGTTCGTATAGGAGGGAAAACGTCACAATCCAAAATAAAGTTAAATGACATTTAAAGAATCGCCAAAATGGTAATTCCGGTGTTTTTGGTCTTACTTAGTGCTAGTCTGATTTTCATCATCAACGATGATTCCGACGCAGGCTCATATCGAACTGATTCAGCCTTCAACGCTGTCAATGCCCCTTTTGCCCATGTGTCTTGCCCTTTTCTAAAACTTTTCATAACTTTACTCATATTCGGACATGCTGCTTTACGTGCTGTTGTTGTTGCCGCTTAGTGAACCTTTGAAATTACTTAGGTTTTCTGGTATGATCATGAGATAGTGATGGTGTACCTAATGCATGAGAATTACGAACGATGTTGAATGAGTTAGATCGAGATGGAAAGGATGAATGCTGAAGGCCTTGGAGATGATAGCTGTATAATCAAAATTTACAACAAACAAAATAGGGGGAAACGGGGTAAAATCGCTATGTTTTCATTCACAGAGCCGCGCGATGGACGGAACCACTTTCATTCCATTCCCCAGAGAATTTACATAAGACTGGCCCTATTTTCTCAATGGTGTTTCACTCCGACCCAAGTAAAACAAATTCATAGAATTATGTTGAGATCTGTAGATATCTATGAAAAATGTAATAAAGGGTGATACGGTCAAAATTTGGTCAATATCAACTTGACGTATTTCTTTCAATTTTGCATTTAAAAAACCTGAACACCCCTCATTTTAAAGGTGTGTGTGTGTAGAATGTTGCTCCTATTTTGATTTCGGAATTCACTCTTCAGTTGTCAAAATGCCGTCCAAGCAAGAAGAGCAGCGTATCAAAATTTTGCTCGCGCATCGCGAAAATCCGAGCTACTCGCACGCAAAGTTGGCAAAATCGCTAAAAGTTGCCAAATCAACCGTTACAAATGTAATTAAAGTGTTTGGGGAACGTTTGTCGACAGCCAGGAAGTCTGGATCGGGGGGAAATCGAAAACCGGAAGCCGCTGAGACGACAAAGAGAGTTGCCGGTAGTTTCAAGCGAAACCCTAACCTCTCTCTCCGAGATGCCGCAAATAAGCTGGGTGTATCGTCTACAACCGTGCATCGAGCCAAAAAACGAGCCGGACTATCGACTTACAAGAAGGTAGTGACTCCAAATCGCGATGATAAACAAAATACGACGGCCAAAGCGCGATCCCGGAGGCTGTACACGACGATAGTGACGAAGTTTGACTGCGTGGTAATGGACGACGAAACCTACGTCAAAGCCGACTACAAGCAGCTTCCGGGACAGGAGTTTTATACGGCAAAAGGAAGGGGAAAGGTAGCAGATGTTTTCAAGCACATGAAACTGCCAAAGTTCGCAAAGAAATATCTGGTTTGGCAAGCCATCTGTACCTGTGGCTTGAAAAGCAGCATTTTCATAGCTTCCGGGACTGTCAACCAAGAAATTTACGTGAAAGAGTGTTTGAATAAACGTCTGCTGCCTTTCCTGAAGAAACACGGTTGTTCCGTACTGTTTTGGCCGGATTTGGCATCTTGCCATTACGGTAAAAAGGCCATGGAGTGGTACGCCGCCAACAACGTGCAGGTGGTTCCCAAGGACAAGAACCCTCCCAACACGCCAGAGCTCCGCCCAATTGAGAAATACTGGGCTATTGTCAAGCGGAACCTAAAGAAGACCAAAAAACTGCTAAGGGCGAGCAGCAGTTCAAGGCAAACTGGCTTTCTGCGGCGAAGAAGGTGGACAAGGTGGCTGTACAAAATCTGATGGCAGGGGTCAAGCGTAAGGCCCGGCAATTCGGATTTGGAAAAGCGGAAGCCTAACTGAATATTTTTCCTGAATTTTATACTAATTGAACTTGAAAAAGAAATTTAATTTGATTTTTTAAATAAACGATTTCACCGATTTACACGCGTTTTCCCTTGACCAAATTTTGACCGTATCACCCTTTAAAATAGGGGGAAACATGCAGGATAAAATAGGCTCAATATCTCTGCTGGCAGCTCTGTGCGGTGAATGAAGCGTTGCTTGGTACTAGCAATCATCCTAAATGTGTGAATACTGGTGATCTAAAACTAGGCAATACCAGCGCCGGCCACGTCCGAATGCTGGTCAAGAAAGCAATGGGTAGGAATATATTGACGTAATACTCGCTTAAATGAAAGCCGAGAACACCTCTGCACTTACACGAGAAATGACTGGGATGTTGGATAAAAGGGTTGGGATTGCAGCAGGATTCGTTTTGGTAAACGATATGCTGAATTGATGTCCTAACGATTCAATAGCGCGAAGAAGCGTGGGATTGAACCCACGGTATTCTGCTCAGTAAGCAGAATCGGTCGCCACTAGGCCGCCGAGCTCTTTATATCACAAAACAATTACGATCAAGTTTCCGTTCAACTTGTTGTTATCCCGGCGGCGACCTCACCGACGACGACAACAACTGCTCTTGAGAAGGATTTGATATGGATTTCCGATCGACACGTCTTTCCTGAAACTCAAATAGGCAAAATGGATGTAATGTCGGCCTAAATGCTCCTAATTTGGGCCCATACATAAATTCAACAATCGACTAAATTTTCAATGACAACCAAAATTATCCCTTAGTACCGTCCCCATGACGCGTTCATCTAGATCAAATTGCTAAATAGCAGATTTTTAGCGATGGGCCCAATCTTAGATCCATAGGCCAACATTAGAACCATTTCCCCTATTACTTTTTTAACCTAGCCCTACAACCGAATTGCTTTACGCTTTACATCATATTATGAAAGAAAGCCGATTTACAGTATAACTCTGTAATGTGAAGGAGCTTGGGATTGAACCCATGATTTTCTGCTCAGAAGCAAAATCGGTCGCTACAAGGCCACCGAGCTCCTTATTTCACAAAAAAAAAATACAACCAAGTTCCTGTTCAACTTGCTGTCACTACGATAAAAACTAATCTTGAGAAGGATTTGTTATAGATTTCCGATCAACACGTCTTTCCTAAAACTCGAATACTATTTCTTTTACGTACTCGTTCCTTCAACCGAATCCGATATTCTTCTTCAATAAATCCGATTCACACTAAAACTCTGAGCTTGAGATTGACTCATAATGTTCTGCTCAATAAGCAAAATCGGTCACCACTAGGCCACCGAGCTCAGTCGGTAAAGACGCAGCTACAAAGCAAGATCATGCTGGAGGTGGCTGGGTTCGATTCCCGGTCCAGTCTAGGAATTTTTCGGGTTGGAAAATGTCTCGACTTCCCTGGGCATAGAAGTATGATTGGACTTGCCACACAATTATACCAATGCAAAAATGGTACAGGCATCGAAAGCTCTCAATTAATAACTGTGGAAGTGCATCTAGAACACTAAGTTGAGAGCACGCAATAAGCTAATATGCGATATGCAATAAGCTTGAAATGCGAAGAAGAAGAAGAAGGCCACCGAGCTCCTTATATAAAAAAAATACGATCAAGTTCCCGTTCCACTTGTTGTTGTGTTTCGGTCCCGGTGACAACCTCACAGACGACGACAACAACTGCTCTTGAGATGGATTTGATATGGATTTCCGATCAAAACTTCTTAAACAGACGATGATCTTCTATTCAGTAAGCAAAAGCCATCAAGCTAGCCAACTTCCTCAATTAATTTTGAGACGTTATTTGGTAAAGATTGAATTAAATCAAAATTAAAATAACTGGGAAGGATCTCATTCGAATGATCTGTAATAAGTCACCCTTCATGTTTCATAAACTTAAAATAAAATTCTCTTCCAAGTTCACCACTTCAAAATATATATATATATATATATATATATATATATATATATATATATATATATATAAATTTAAAAAAAAAATCATCGCGTCATTGATTTGTTGGGCCACATAGTAAGTAAAACAAACATTTATTACCTGTGTAAAAACTGCTTTATCGAATATTCACGATTACGATGATACAGTACAATGAATTGCTAAAAAATGAAAGATGGCATTGTTAACTGTCTTAATGCAGAACCTGCAAAATGCGTCTCGATGCTGTGATGCTGTAATAATAAATTAATGAACAGTACCTGGACCAAACATTGAATATCTTTCACTATAAAACACCATTTTTTTCCTCTGTTCGAGAGCTAACACTACTGCGACCAGTAAATTGATCTATTGTAGTATATCCCGTGTCCTTAGTTTAGTGCATGTCGTATCACTCCATCACTATTGAGAAGTATTATAGATGAAGTATTCGATTTTTTTACAGTTGCCACTCTTGCATTTATCGCAAGGATCCGACTCTAATTGAAAGGTCCCGCTATTTATACCCTTCGGAGTGTTGAAACACCCTCCAAAGGCGCGCCCCTTTGTCAGTCAAAATTGGATTCCTTAGCAACAAAATTAAGGTATGACACCGATAATGACCATGCATCAGAACCCTAGTCTTAACCACTTCAAACTAGGGAACAACGAATAGAAGATTAGGAATCACATAGATGAAGGCAACTAACTCATTTTTTTCTTTGTTTCAAGATCATCCTCGGTAGACAAAGCCGAGTCTTGTACCTATCAACATGGCATAAAAAGTAACAAGGACTAAGATGTGTTCCTTGGATTACTGAAAAATCCTGTTCCCCTAGTTTGAAGTAGTCAGGACTAGGCATCGGAGGTAGATCTT